TATAAATTTTAAGTACTAAAATAATTATTCTATTATTAATATTTTTATTTCTATAATTTTTCTAAAGTTAAAAAACTTTTTTTTATACAGATGTATATTAGTAGACTAAGTCATGTGCAAATTTATAAATTTTAAGCATTAAAACATTTGTTCTATTATTAATATTATATGTGTATAAATTTTTTGAAATTGAAATTATCTTTTGAAATAAATGTGGACTTGATATATTATTTATTCCATCATTTTATAGAATTCTAATTTTGAATGTTATTTTTTTAATTTTTAGTTGGAATTGTTAAACATAATTATTTAATATGTATTTGAATTTCCTTTCCACATTAATAATAAAAGTTATTTTATTTTACATATTAACATAGGTATTGGGATATTTTCATGGTTTAAGAGTGAATATGTTACGTGTATTTTTGTTGTCACCCCAATGACAACATTAAGTGGGGTGCATACCGCGTATTCAGCTCATCCGGACTTCTTTGAAGTTCATTGGGGGAATAGTCTAATTGGTCAAAGTCAATTTCTAAGATATCACACCTTTCGGACATCATGGTATATGTAATTAGAAAGAAAAATAATCAAGTACATTAGAATAGAACTTATACGGTACGAGGTTTCAATATATAATTCAATTTTGAAAATTTAAACCTAGAAATAAAACAAAATCAAATACTAAATTTTACAACAGCCCAGTTCAATGTGTGTTGCTAATTTGTTACTTGCTAGACACACTGGACTTGGGCTTCATACAGGCACAGCTAAAAGACTGGGCCACATTTTAAAGCCCCATTCATTAAATGGGTAATGGGTTGAGTGTAGTTCTAGCTTGCTATATCCGAGGGGGAATGTTAGGCCTTAAATTCTTGGTTCACAAACCTCGTGCTTTAATTTATAAAGGCCTTGACAATTTATTTATATATTTGAATTTGACTTTGATAAAACATATGTTTTATTTTGGACCATATACAGGTTCATTATACACCAGACAACTGAAACGTTGCATTGACACAATTTTCTATACCTTGGTTGTATTATGGACTTTGCATCCAGTTTAACAAAATAAATAAAAAAAAAAAAGAAAAAAACGTATCACTAGAATGTAGCTTCTCCTCGAATCAAGTGTAGTATCCTATTGCAGATAAGAAATGAATAAAATTAACACACTTTGATGGGTCTTTTGGGCAAGACTGGACTCTGAGGACCGTTTGGCTATTCCAGATTTGAATAGGATATCCTTATCAGCAATAGGATATTACACTTTGATGGGTCTTTTACCGGGTCTGTACCCTTCAAACATTGGTGGTCTTGGTCTGAAAAATCTGGAGTGGATGAATAAACCCAGTTTGGCTGAGCTTGGTTGGAATATTCCGAATGATAAGGATAATTTTTGAGTAACAAGTATCTAAGAAGGGATTCCTTTTCGGATTCTAAGCCAAGTAAGAGGCACTCTTAGGCTTGGAAAGGAATCCTTTCAGTTAGGTATTTGATTAGCAGAGGAGCTGGTTGGATCATTTGAAATGGTGAATCCACTAAGTTTTGGACAGATAATTGGACTAATGAGGGACCTTGCTGGTGGGGCTGGATTCAATTAGAAACCCTGACCTTAGAGTGAGTGAAGTAATTGATCATAAGGATTTGGAGGGAGGATTCGATTAGGAACCTACGCGGGCACAAATGTAAATTTCAAATGTAGCCAGCGTTCAGACCGCCGCCTTAAATAACTGGCCAAAACCTAAGCTGACGTTTCTGAACCACTGACACAAATGGCAATTTCAAATCTAGCCGACGGTTTACTTTTATTTGTACCGGTGGTTTCCAATGCCGGTTTATGGARGGATAAGTCGAAAATTTTGACAAACTGCCGGCAATGCTTCAATTCAATAGCTTAAGTTAGTGTCACCTACACCGACGATTTTATGCGGACATTGCAGCGGTCTTTATTTTTGCCGACAATGGCTATACTGGGAAAGAAAGAGCGCTGGCAAACCGCTGGCTTAAATCAATGTCGGCGGTCATGAAATTTGTGCCGATGAATCCTAACCGCCGGCTAAAGCCTGCTTTTTTATAGTGTAACAAGGTTAATAAAATCTGGGATATGAGAACCACTCAAAAAAATTAAAATTTCCATGTTTCTTCTCCTAAATGGGCCCCTCCAAGAAGATGCTTAATGACAGAGGGATTGAAATTGATGGCATGTGTTGTGTATGTGGGGAAGATGAAGATATTAATCATATTTTTATCAATTGCCCAATAGCTAAGAAAGTGTGGCTCACCACATCTAGCACCTTCCCAGTTCCCCATGATTTGAGTCAGCGCATTATCGAGTGGTGGAAGTCTGTGGTTTCTTGTGATAGGAGACATTACAAAGATGAGTTAAGAAAGGAAAACTTTGCTGTCTTATACATCTCCGCCCCACCCACAGCACATTTCTGCCATGTATTGGGAATATCTCCTGATGATAACATCATTGAGAAATATTCCCAATACATGGCGGGGATATGCTGTGGGATGTTGTAGGGTGGAGATGTGAACTCTTTTTAATAAGAAACTGATCCCCCCTCCCCTTATAATTGAGAGGGCTTGGATCTCTTTCTTTGAAATGACTAAATACATGGATACAAGTCTGAAAACCACAAAGAAATGCTGTGTATCCAAGTTACATGGATGAATCCAAATATTGATGGGATTAAGATTAATTTTGATGCCTCATGCATTGATGGGCAATGCACAATTGCTTGTTTGGATAGGGACTATGCTGGCCAGATTCTCGACTTTTAAAGCATATAAGCTAGGCCTATAGGAATCTCCTCCATCAACCTAATCAAAGCGTGGGAAGCCCACAATGTACTCTCAACTCTAACAGCAAAAAACTAATTATCGAAGGCGATTCAAAGTTAATCATTGATTATTTGAAGAACCGTGTGGAGCATCCTTAGAGATTGAAGTTCATCATCATTGAAGGCTGCTGCGTGAGAGAATTGAGGCTTCAGTGGTGTATCGGCATATTTCCTTCTGGAAATATGATTGCAAATTGGCTTACAAATCATGCTCATTCTAATATTGTTTCTCTGTCTAATGTTCATAGAGCTTAAATCTGACCGTGTTGATTTGACCCGCCAATCTTATATGAATGCCCCAGGTATTTTCAAATAAGGATAATCCATCGAGGTCTTTAGGGATGCTAATTGATTGTCTCACAACTCACAACATCACTCCTGAGGAGCAGTGTATATTTTATATAGGTATGTTATCTTTGAAAAAAAAAAAAAAAGGTAAATACAGGCTCAGTTTGAATAATATAAATACAAATATGTAGAATGCAAAAATTTATATTTTGTATGCATTTATACGATACATATTTATATTTATATTCCTTCCAGATTGAGCCTAACTTTCCTTGTTGATCGATATCATTGGCCTGACTCTACGGCCCATTCTTCTGATTTTTGTAGGCCTTCATAAGTAGTTCATTTCGACGCTCACTTTGACTGATTCTCTTTCTTCATCTTTATTTGGTGGTCCGATTTTGACTATAACATTGCCTATYTTCTAAATGAGAAATTGAAAAATTCTCTCAATAGTTTTCCATCTTGAAACATGAAAGGACAACCTCACCTATACTTTCAACTAAAGCCGAAATGTGGTTAAAAAGGAGATTAGGGGTTTGGATGGTATTCGAAAATCGGATTTTAAATTCAAGATTTAATATAATTAAATTAAATTGCAATAATTCAAATATTATAGTTGGCCACTATTCATACCGTAATCGAATCGATGAATTATATATTTAAACGTACCTTACCTTCTGAATTGTCATCACTTATCCCTTCTTCGGTTTACATTTGTGTCGTTACACGTATCTACACTATTCATCAATTCAAAGGTTAAAGGAGAAAATCGAGGTTGGTTTGGAGGTTGAATGTTCGGTAATGACTTGTCTTTTATTTATTTTTTATTTCTTCTATTAAATTATTTATTTTTTATTCAACCATCTCTCCGGCAAGTTACATTTATTTATTTATTATAACAATTTAACTGGAGGAGTTGTGAAATTTTCATCGAGACAATTGTTCTTCTATTGACATTGTTTCATGAGCTGAGTTGGACCAAGGAAGAGAGTTTTATTTTTTCTTCTTCTATTTTTACAAGTATATCATCCTTGATGGAATCTAAGACTTCAACCATTGGATCATGATGTTAATATTCAAACTAAATTGGATGTTTAACTAGGTTCATGATCCCCATTGGCCATTGCATAGTGAAGTCTAGATGAGGAGAAGGGAAAAGCAGCAGGTTGCACGCCCGATGATCAATCGCTTTCCTCATCACAAGAATCAACCATCCGTTACATTCCAATAGACGCAACATCATCATTATCATCATCCTCATGCCGTTGAGATTCTGACTGATTGAATGCCATGGTCATCCACATCCAGTGTTTTTTTATTGCTTCGTTGCAAAGTGAGTGAAAAAATAAAAGTATTTTCTGTTCTGAGACGTGTGCTGTGCTGGGGAGTGGTGGAATAGTTTGGAGGAGAGGAGGTTRGGCTTAGAGCGAGGTGAGGTGGCGAGTGAGAACCTACATAAGCATTGCCATTTACATCTAAACCGTCCAAGCATGTTGGATGGCCCAGATGAAAGCGATGGGATGATGATGAATTGGTGTGGCTACTACTGGTAACGGCTGCTAACCACTGGCATTGACTAACGCGTTCTGCATTCCAACTTTCCGACGATGAGTTTTACAAGTGTAAGCTGAGAAAACTGAAAAACGCGTCTTATCGTTTATTAAGTGTGATGAGATGATAAATACATACACCAATTCAATTAAAAGACTGGACACGACAAATTATTATTAACTGTAATAGCAATTTGGGAACCCGAAGATAATAAATAATAAATAAAAGGGAAAACTAAAAAGAAAAAACATGACGTAAACCATAATAGTTACACAGACAAGGAACGGAAAGCGCTGATGTAGAAACTAGAAAGAAAGAGACAGACATTTCTCTCTGTAGCTTACTGAACTCACAAATCTCCTCCCCCCTTCCTTTTTTTGTGTTTTCTCAGTTAAAAGAAAAGAAAATGAAAACTGAAAAAGCGTGATTGTGGAGCGCTATCTGCCGAGAACCGAAACTCCCGCGCTCTGCATAGAGATTCTCAATTCCCCAATGGATTGTATTTAAGATCTTTCTCTCTCCTCTCTCTCTCTCTCTCTCTCTCTCTCTCTCCCAATGTTTTCATATTTTTCACTTCAAATCGTCTCTTTCTCTCTCGCTGCTTCGCTCTCTCAGCTTCTGTTTTGGTTTCTAGCCTGGCTCTCTCTTTCTCTCACACTCTGACTCGATTCATTTATTCTCTCCTTTTAACGTTTTCTTATCGTAGATTTATCCTTCTTTCTTTTCTCTCTCGCCGGCCGACATCCTCAGATCCGTACAGGGAACAATACACCATCCAATGCTTGGACTTTGACTGATCGCCATCCAATAGTCGTAATGGGGCAGTGCTATGGCAAGAACATTCCCGTCGTCGAAGACGGCGCCTCTGCTCCTCACGATCGCCCACAAACACCATCCACCTCTACAGTCGGCAACGGCACTGCCACTGTTCCTTCTGTTAAGAACACACCTGCTCACTCCTCCACCAGCCCTTGGCCTAGTCCTTACCCTTATGGTACTAGTCCTCTCCCTGTCGGAGTATCTCCTTCACCGGCCAGGTCCACTCCTCGGAGATTCTTCCGTCGCCCGTTCCCTCCACCTTCCCCTGCCAAGCATATCAAGGCGACTCTCGCAAAGCGTCTGGGCCCGCCAAGGCCCAAGGAAGGCCCGATTCCGGAGCACGGGACGGACGTTGAACGCCCACTCGATAAGAGCTTCGGTTACGGGAAGAATTTCGGTGCCAAGTACGAATTGGGAAAAGAGGTAGGCCGGGGCCATTTCGGGCATACGTGCTCGGCCAAGGGCAAAAAGGGAGAGCTGAAGGGTCAGTTGGTGGCAGTGAAGATCATCTCCAAAGCAAAGGTGCGACTTTGAATCTGATAAGCTTAATTGATAGTTATGTATCGTCTTCTGCTCATATCTTGATTTATGCTAAATCCTATCTCCACTGAAAGCTTACGGAATTCTTTGGATCATTCATATTACTAATGTTGATGGCTAGAGCTAGAGCCTCTTTTTTCCCCTTAAAGTTCAAATGGGTTGCCGTACCAAGGACTGAATTAGAATTGAAGAAATAAGCCCTCTCCTTCATTGTCACTTGTTTTTGCCTGTTTAACTGTGGGTTTAGTTTTCATTTGGTCTCACTAAAGAGATCTTAGAACTCCTGCAGCTTGTATTTTTTTTTTTAGGATTTGAAATCACGTCTGAGACTCTGATTCATCATGAGCCTCTTTTTTAGATCGCTAAAATTATGTCTGAGGCAAATCATGTCTTGAGGCTCTGATTCGTCAAGCTTATGGAGTTCTTTAGATCATTGAAATTACTAACACTGATGACAAGAGCCTCTTTTTCCCCCTCATTAATTAATTCGATTTGGTTTCCGTATGAAGGATTGAATTGGAAATGAAGAAATAATTTTGCTCCTTCATTGTTGAAGTTGATTGTGCGGCGCAAATTCTTTAAGTTACCTTGTTTAGCTGTGGATTTATAGCCTGATTTGGTCTTAATAAAGAGACCTTAGAACTCGTGTGGATTGTATTTTTTTTAATATTTTGAAATAATGTGTGAGGATCTAATTCGTCAAGATGAAAATTTCTTTAAATCCAGCTGCTTATTTCCTATATTTACCTCGTTGAAAAAATGCTTCCCCCCTCCCCGAAAAAAATGATTTAGTAACTGAACCTTTCGACCTTTAGATTATTCTTATGCTTATTCTTCTCTGAGTAGTACTGTTCTACATGAATGGAAGTTCAAAATTAGATAACAAAAGTATGGTTCTCAAAGTCAGAACGAACATTATTTAAAAGTTAGGAGATCTATGCATTCTTGTGTGAATCACAGTACTGATGGGTAGCAAATAAAAAAGGATTGAGAACTTTTTTTTTCTTTTTGGTAAATTATCCAATTAAAGTCCTACTTATGACTTACGAGTATGTTGAGCTCTCACATTTTATCAGGACTATAGAGAATTATCTTGCAGGTATTTGTTACTGAGATGGAGCATGCTGACTGTTGAGGATGCAGATGCACTGTAATTGTGATTGATGATTTGCAAGTTTTTCACTTTCTTTTCTTTTTCTTTTTGGATGTACAATTTGTTAGGAATTGGAATGCTATTTAGTGCAAAACATCCTTTGTGTTTTTCCATGTTTAGCCTTGTAACACTTATTTTTTTCGTATTGATTCTTCTATTGAAGTAGGCAACTGAAAAACCAACTCTCACATAAAAGAACGCATGCCAGGGAAACCAATCTAATGGCAATGCTTTATCTTTAACTGTTAATGTAGTGAAGGTTACTAGTCAACAATGGGCATCTTGGATTTTCTAGATGAGTAATGACGAACTTGGAATCAATGTCTAGTGACATAAACAAAAGAATATTTTGGCAATAAAGTGTAATATTCTATTGATGTAAAAAGTGAAAACAAAGGTCCAATACATTAAATGCAGCATCTAAAATGAGGTACTAAAGCACTTTTTGCTATATATGCAAGTCATTATACATCATATTAAATATATTCTATGGTTCATGGTTCACATTGATGTTTACTTGTTGGTAAGCTACCTAAAAAGTATAATTGATATTTGGTATGAAATTCAGGAGATTAAATCTTGGGCTGGCAAGTGTGAGGACTTGGGTTTGAGTCTGAGAGTGGTCACTTTGTGCGAAAAAATGCCAAAGGTTACGACTGTATTTTTTTTTATCAGCATGGTTGGGTCCAACATTGGATAATGGCCTTTTATTCCTACACTATTACTAAGACACTGGTATCATGTAGATCTCTTAGAGGCATGTCTTCTTTAAGAGGTTCAATTAGAATGTGTAACAGAAGTATTCTTATTTAATTTCTGGTATCTTGTAGATCTCTTAGACACTGGTATCAGTTGAAGAGATTCAATCTCCTAGGATTCTTATTTAATTTCTGTGACTAGAAGTTAATTGTATTAGAATGTGTAGCAGAAACATCCTCGTATCCACTTTGTACTGTCTCTAAAGCTGATATGAGGACCCAAAACACATATCTGTGCTACTACTTTCATCCCTAATCCCCACTTCTTTTAGTCTCTTTTCTTCTTCAAGGTCATCTCTCCATTGCAATCTTTCTTTCCCCTTTTTGGCTAATTGATCCTCTTTTTACATCTTCTCCACATGCGCATTAGTGTTTAAAAGTGCAAGGCATAGGGGTCAATTTGCGCCCGTGGCACAAGGCGTAAGGCGAGGCGTGTGCCTTTTTGAAGCAAGGTGCAAAAATTAAAAAATGTCAAAAAAATAAAAAAATGCCAAAAAATTCAAAAAAATATTAAACATAATATTAATAAAAAAAATATAAACTTAAAATTTAAAATAAATGTTTTAAAAACCTATTATCTAAAATTAAAATACATAAACATAACATGTAAAGCATATTCAAATGAGAATTTAAAAATAAAACCAAACATATAAAACATTTTCAAGCATGTAAAATCCACAATCTTTTTTTCCTCAATTGCATTACTTCAAGTAGCTAATGTGATGTAAAACATATTACATGCTTGATTCTACAAGCCACCTTTGTGCTATGCTTCTTGAGGCAAGCCCAAACAAGTCCATGTTAGGGTCTTAAATTCTTAATTTTCATATAAAAAATAATGATTTTATAATTTTAATTGCTTTTTAAGAAGATATTTTATTAGGATAAATGAATGAACAACATTACCAAATAGGGGGTTCGCTTGCCTTGAGGGGTGTGGCATGGGGGTCCAAGGGCAGAGCCTTGACCCAGCCGCTAGGTTCAAAAAAAGCAAAAGAGCGTCAAATTTTCAAAAGATGCACGCCTGGGTTGAGGTGCAAGGTGCATCAAGCGCATGCCTAAGCGCACTAGGCGTGTGCCTTTTGAAAGGGCTGTGCCTAGGACCTGGGCGAGGCGCCTACCCTAAAATGTGCTCGCTTGTGCGCCTTTTAAATCATTGATGCACATAAAGAGCTATTCAATATAATAAAGTTTTTTTTTTTTTTTTAACTATAAAATAATACACCTTAGCTAAACAAAAAGAGAAGGTAAAACATGAAAAGGAAAAGGCATGAACCAGAATCTGATTTGTGTCCATGAGTTTGCTTGGCAAGATGAAAACACATGAACTAGGAAACTTGTCTGCAGGTAAGTGTATACCATTAAAACAACCAAATCTTTTTGAATTATAACATTAATATACCTATAGAATAACATTTAAAGGTTTAACTTTGTTAACATAGTTAGCATTCTACAAGGAAAATGGCACTCTTCATGTACATTAGCAGATCAGCTGTTCACAAGGATAAAAAGGAAAACATTACATAGAAGTGTCCTCAAGAAGCCATGGAGTGTCTGGATCTGATGCACCCAACATGAACATTTCATTCATTTAGGAGAATTCATTCAACACCACAAAAATCATGACAAAGAAAAACTATGTACAAAAGCATGCCTCCTCCCTAGTTTTATAATGTTCCTTGTTTTCCTAGAATGAAGTATTTCAAAAACTTATAAAATCTTTCCCCACCCTTCCCACTTTTTCTCATGATTTTGAGAAAAAGTGAAATGGCCAAAAACTATTTGATGGCTGCTCTCTGCAGTTCTAAAGGGCTGACTTTTCAAAGAAGAAAAAAAAGAAACCCCTTCTGAAAACTCAAAAATTTGGCTTTTTTTTCAACCAGAAAACTGTTTTCAATGGGCAATTGATGGTTAGCATAATGTTGAGGTGCAAAACATAAAACCAAGTAGGCTATTAGGCTTTAGAAAACCATTTTTTGGTTTTCACTTTTCAATAGAAGTCTCTTATCATCAATTTAAAAAAAGTAGGGCCAAATTTTATTAGGAGTGCTATAAAAATTTCAACCAACGAAACCCCGTGCTGATTAGTTCTAATATTGTCAATTTTATAAGATTTAAATGTGGTCATTCAATTTAATTTCTTTAATGTACTTTGAATGTGGCCATTATATGTTGTCTTTTTGGTTACCCAAAAAATGTATTCTCCAGCTATCCAATTAGAAATCCTTGTGTCATTAATCTAATTCTAGTAACTAGGTATCCACAAAAACAAAAAAAAAACCCAGTTCTCATCTACCACTCACAAAATACCAAAAAAGAAAACAAATTACCATTTATTTTGGACCCATTTTCTCTTTTTAAGAGTAGTTAGGGCTTAGAATTATAAAAAGAAAAAAATGCTATTTTTGCAAGATCCAACATGGTCAACAGTCTCTGTCGTAATAATGATGGCTTTTAATCTATATATTTAAAAASGAAAAGATAAAAGAACAATTCATTAGCACACCCTCCCTGCCTTAATTATAAATCCTTAGAAATCCTTTTTTTCCCTAAGAATTACCTTTGCAACTAGCTATTCAAATCACCCATCCCTTTTTCTGTACTTGTTTTCTAGGAAGAAGAGCTAAATTTCTCTTAGATGAGTGGTATCTCTGTTGATTTAAAAGTTTTGGTCAATCTTGATTGATTCATTATTTAGAATTGGAAAAAAAAAACATGTAGGTTGGGGTACTATGTCTTTGTTGAATGAATAGGGTGCCCTATCTAATTGAATATGTATAATAGAAACCAATTTAAGGGCAGTACTATATATATATTTTTCCACTCTTCTTATCTGATTATCAATAAAATGCTTAGATCATTTCTTATCGATAAAAGAAATACATTTGCAACTAGCCCGTGCTTAGCAGTGCTACTATGCTTTTAATAGCCATCATATGTGCTCTCCTTATGCCATGCATGGCAAGTAAAGATAAAAGGGTAAAAAGATGAAAATACTTGTTTAAATGTCTTAACTCAATGATTATATTTGAAGATTGAAATATTTGGGTAACCACCCTTTGCAAGCATTTTATTACATGAATACTATTAGAACACTCTGATTTAACTTTTGTGGCCTGGATGTGAAGCCAAGGCAAATATCAGTTTTATATAGTAAAGATGTCTCTTGATAGAGATCAATTGTGGGTGCTATGGGGATTAAGGATGAGTTGAAAAAAGTATCCTTTATCATCTTTGATAAGTGGGTGCTGTGGGGAAGCAGGTTTAAGAGACTTTGTTTGGGCATATGGTGAATGTTTCTAATTTCCATATGGGTTAAAACTAGGTTAGGTCAATGACCAGTCTGATGTACACCTTAGTTGGACAATGTTACATATTTTCTAGATCAGACGACTTGAATTTATAATTTTTACTAAGAAAATGTATCAAAACATAATTAAGTAGATATAAATTTTGATGATTCTAAATGGCAATGACGTCATTATACAACAATAAGTAAAATATAGAACATTTAGTGATACATATCTAATTAAATCCATCATAATTAAATGCACTATGAAAATCAGGATATTCTATTAAATACTACTAGTTTGCCTTTTACACAGAGGACTGTTTACAGGCTCAGAAACTCAAATGAAGAATTAAGACAGTGGAAGCTAGAATTTTTGGTCCTCACAATCTGAACGTTGAATTACTAGAGATGGAGATGATTTCAGAGAGATGAAGGTGCTCTCCTCAGAAAATGCGAGAAAGTTAAACAGGGATAGGTGTATAGAGCATGTTCTGACGTATGTCTTGTTTTAATTTGTTATCCTTCTTTTTCCCTTGTGTGTTTTTTTATTGATTTTTTTCTTCTTAAGCTTAGAACCATTGATCTGGGTACTGGTGTTGATACCAAGGTTCAAAATATTGATACACCCCAATACGGGGGAAGGGATGTATCAATACTTTGAACCTTCTGCTTTTATTTTATCTTAGTTTTTTTTTTTTTTTTTCAAAATTTCATAGAATGGGCTATTTTTATAGAAGGTTTCTCAAAAGTCCCTTAAAATAGGTGTATCGGGAGTCAAAAGATACAATATGATAGCCTGTATAAAAAAATTGTACCTTGGTTGATACAGACAGAAATAGAAAGATTACTGGCTCCATTTAGCAGGCACTTTTTTTCTAAAGAACAGTACTCATAAATAAGAAGAAAAAAGTGATTGGTTGGACATAACTTACCATTCAAAGCACAAAGTGTTTCTCTTCACTTATTCAGTTACCAAAAAATAAAAAAAAGAAACAAAATAAAGGATTAGTGATGTCAAGATTCATTCTCTACAAGGGCATTGTTTGGTGCAAGAACATTTGAGCCTCTTGTTATGGAACTTGTTCTCAACCTTTTAGTAAAGACATCTTGTCTATGCCAATTTTGTTCATTATCATTTTACTTTGGCAGGCTAAATTCACAGAGTAGCTTCCAAAATGGTTATTTTCTCCTTTTGTGAGAAGTCTATGATACTTCAACAAAGAAGATTATGATAGCAAAATACAGAGTTGTGAGAAAAATGGTTACCTAGTAAAAGGAATTATTTGATTGATATCATTTTTGAACATTTTATTTTTATATGCTTATTTAATAGGCAAGTATACTTGTATACATTTGACCATTCTATGTTGCATTTTCCCCATAGATGTCATGAATCTTCAGATTTTATTGGTGATTACGGTGCAAACTTTCCTTACCAATTTCCATTCACCAGTTTATGGAAGTTCTATTTCAATGAACTTGAATGTTGACTTGAGCATCATTCTATAACTGAATTAGTTGTATGTGGCAGATGACAACACCAATATCAATTGAAGATGTTCGTAGGGAAGTGAAAATCTTGAAAGGCTTATCTGGGCATAGGAATCTGCTCAAATTTCATGATGCATGTGAAGATGCCAATAATGTCTACATAATTATGGAGTACGTTTACTTCCCATCTTGACTTTGATTTTTGTGAGATATCCTTGGGCGTATATGGTTTGGCTTAGTTAATTAGGATTACCTTTGCAGAGCTCTAAAACTCAAGGGGATATAAAACATTTATCTATATCCCATATTTTAGTCCCAGTCTTACATCTATTATGGGATTCATTATTTATGTATCCTGCACCCTGAAAGTGCAGACTAGTTCAGTTATAAGTTCACTTCTAATATTAGAAACTGAGTTATGGCGATCAAGAACTTCTCACATACTAGGATTGAGATATAAGTCATTGTTCATTATAGTGATATATTCTCTTGTGGGCTTAGTTATTAAATTTCAAACTCAAGCTTCTAATTCATTTCCTCTAAGGCCCTGTTTGGTTCATGGAAATAGGGGTCTGGAATCAGAATTGGAATGGGCTGTTCCATTTCCAACTGTTTGGTTGGATGGAGTCGGAATCCCATTCCCATTTCTGATGCAATGGTATTCCCCCATTTGAGGGAATGGCCATTCCCTGCCCCTCCCTTGGGAATGAAATCCCATTCCTGCTGATTTCAATTCCCATTCCCATTCCTGTCTGAACCAAACAGACTGGGAATGGACCATTCCGATTCTGATTCTGGAGGATTTCGATCCCGATTCTGACTGCGAACCAAAAGGACCCTAAATTTATTAAAAGCTGTTTCTGAATTTGGTAAATTCCTGTTTCTTTATCAGATTGTGTGAAGGTGGAGAGCTGCTTGACAGAATTCTTTCTAGGTGCAGTGGAATTTCCTATTTTGTTTGTAACATTTATTAGGTTTCTTACATCTATTTTTGTCATAAAGCATAATTTCTTTGATTGTATTTGTGCTATTCTTTTGTTGCAGAGGTGGAAGATACACAGAGGTTGATGCAAAGGTTATCATTGTTCAAATTTTAAGTGTTGTTGCCTTTTGTCATCTTCAAGGTGTTGTGCACCGTGATTTAAAACCAGAGGTATGCAGCTTGACATGGACCTTGAAATTCTTATATTATTTTGCACTGTTTTCCCCCTTCCTTGTGTGTAGTTTTTTCCCTCTCTAATCTCCACTCCTCCAAGGCATTGCTACTCATTCTTGAAAGTTGAATGCTTGACAGAATTTTCTTTTTACCAGTAGAGATGATGACACTACATTGAAGCTTATTGATTTTGGTCTTTCTGATTTTATCAGACCAGGTAACTGCTACTAGTCATTTATGCTTCAACTGTTTCTGTTTTTGTGTTGTTTAATATTCTTACAGTCTTGATGAAATTATTGGTATGTTTGAAATTCTGTTGCAACAAAACTTGAAGCAGGCCTTGTAGCAGTCCTCCTTTCTGGTTAATGATGTTTTTTCACTATTTAAATTTCAGTACCTGTTGTTTAATATTCTTCCAGTCTCGATGAAAATTATTGGAACGTTTGAAATTCTGTTGCAACAAAACTTGAAGCAGGCCTTGTAGCTGTCCTCCTTTTTTGTTAATGATGCTTTTCCTTTGATCCAAGTTTTTGATGTGGGAGATATGTTGGGAAAAAAGGACCCTTCTAAATGTTGGAGTTGTTAATTGATCCCTATGGTGCTAGCACTTATTATAGGAATGGAATTTTTTTATGATTGTAAGTTATGAATCTTATGTGGTCGGTAGAAGATTAGAAGCATGTAGGTAATGGGTTTTCATATTTTGGTCGTTACTGATAGTATTAGTTCAATATGGACTGCCTATAGTACTTTATTTAATGCCTGATATTATTTTTTTTCGGTCTCCAAGTTTTATGATTAATATGCTTGGATGTTTTTTTTTTCTATTTTATCCATGTCACCTGATTTTCTAATACTACTGCCAAAGGATATCGAATGTAGGTTTGGACTGCAAATCATTTCCAAGGGGTATGAACAATCCTATAGATTAGCAAAAAAATTTGGCTAATTTTTTTATCCACATTCATGGTGGATATACAATTTATTTAGTTATTTGTCCTTACCTGATAAATGATTATTTGTTTTTTACCAGAAGTATTCTATTTTTCAAGATATTCACAGATAAAGATATGTTTTTCTGATGGAATTGATATTTGCAGTTCTAGATGCTGTCAGAAGACTAAGGGGATTGAACAAGAATTTGGTGTTTAACTCCATAAAACAAATGAAAAAGGAATTCCAAACTTTGAAATGTTATTTGGTTCTTCCCTTTTACTTTAGATATGGTTGAGTGTTTTATTATAAATTATAATTGTAATAATTATTACCAATATTAAATGTTATTAGCGATACAACTAACCTATTTTGGCTGAGTAGGGATTTCAGGGCTATTGGATTGTTATGTCATGTAAAGAAGCATGGACTCAGATTTATCATGTTGTTTCACATTAGGATCTTGTAATCACTCTCAGTTTTTCATCCAACATGCATTTTTAGTTTCAAGAAGTATTCATGTATCTCAACTAGGAGTGAGCAAAAAAAAAAAAAACCGAAAAACCTAACTGATCGGTTCGGTGTTTTTAAAAAACCAAAGATACTGGTCCGGTTTTGGTTAACCAATATAGAAAACCGGCGGTTAACCGAACCGACTGGTATACATATATTTCTTTATATTTTATATATATCTATGTATATTATATATTATATATATTTTATATATTATAAATTAATAAATATGCATTATATATAAATATATAAATTATAATATATTATTTATTATTTAAAATATAATATTATATATATTTATATTTTTATAATATATGTAAAAATTAAAAAAACCGAAAAACCGGCAAACTGAACTGACAGTTAACCAAACCGGTCAATTGATTAGCTTTGGTTTGGTTTCGGTTACCGGTAGTATTGGTTTGGTTACAAAAAAAGGCCCACGGTCCCACGGTTAACCAAACTGTGAGCACCCCTAATCTCAACTTAAAACTAACTGAAAATGCTTTTCAACCTCCCAAAGACTATTTCTGTTGGGTCCAATTGTAAAAAACTTCTTACAACCTTTAGCATTCATTGTAGAATATTTATTTACAGATTTGGCATTACATACAGAAATTTGGTTTTTGGATTGTGCTCCGAGCCCCTTTTAGGATTGTATTCAATCTACCTATAAGTTCAAGAGGAAATCCTTTTATTTTATTTGCAGATGAAAGACTCAATGATATTGTTGGCAGTGCATTTTATGTTGCACCTGAAGTTCTTCATAGATCATATAGCCTGGAAGCAGATATTTGGAGCATTGGTGTCATAACATATATCTTGTTATGTGGAAGTAGGCCTTTCTGGGCACGAACGGAATCAGGAGTTTTTCGTTCTGTTCTGAGAGCTGATCCTAATTTTGATGAATCGCCATGGCCTACAGTATCGCCAGAAGCTAAAGATTTTGTGAAAAGGCTTCTTAATAAGGATCACAGGAAAAGAATGACTGCTGCACAAGCCTTGAGTAAGTTGTCATTGCTTTTTGAATATTTCAGGGAGAGATTGAGTATATCTGGTTTGGAGTTCGGGTGTCATCTATTAGTAACATTCAGATATATGGAGACTAACAATTACTTATGTTTTGGCAGCTCATCCATGGTTGCGAGATGAAAACCATCCTATTCCATTAGATATATTGGTCTATAAGTTARTCAAGTCATACTTTCGTTCAACACCTCTTAAACGTGCAGCGTTAAAGGTACTAATACTACACTCTTATATGGTGGAGCTTTGTATGCCTATTACTGGAAAATACCATTCAGTCAAACAATTCATTTGCCATAGGATTATAAAATACTTCTAGTTCTTTCTTTTTGTGCATGTGATCCATGGAACTTTTGGTGTCAGGTTATTTCCATGGCAGTTATTTTTTTGATAAATCCATGACAGTTATTTTGAGCAGCTGGAAATGGAAATTTACTCTCTGATACCATAGCATTCTGCTATTGTTTCCTCACATTGTAATATGTGTACGGTATATAATCATATATTTATTGGATTGCTGTATCTTGTTCATAATCTGAATTCAACAAAAGAAATAAATAAATTGTATTCTAATACCTCAAACATAGGTTTCTTCCAAAGGATGAAGAGCTACAGAATTCTTTTTCTTTTCCTTTTGTTTTTTTTTTTTTAAATATTTTCATAAATCTTTTGAAAAATATTTTTTACCATTTTTTGCTGTCTTGACTGGTTTATCAACTTTTTTACTTTTTAATTTTGTGTTACTAAGGGTGTTCTTGTTATAATTCATGTGAAATGTCTTGTGCCAAAACAAATGCATTTTAGTAAGTTGCAATATGTTACTAATGGCTTTACAGATTAGGAAGAGGCAAATGAGATAAATTTGTCCCTAAGCAGGGCCTAGTTGAATAAATACACCAAATTGCAAGGTTACTCCATGACTAAGGAAATGTTTGAGGATTATTGGCAGGTCACCCAACCTTAGACTTATCCATGGTTAAAATGTGATATTGACTGGGTGACTATATATGGCAAATTGATTTGACTCTTCAAACCAGGCTTAAGTGTAGAGTGACATGTTTCTATTATGAGGCTATCTTGGTATTTAGTTTTAAAAAAAAAAAAAACTTTTTTCCTAATGGTATAGGCGCTATCAAAAGCTTTAACAGAGGATGAGCTCATATATCTTAGGGCTCAGTATCAGCTACTGGAGCCAAGTCAAGATGGACATGTCTCTCTCGAGAACTTCAGAGTGGTTGGTGTATCTTTTTCTTACTTCTCTTAAAAGTTCTGAGTTTGTAAATGATTTGAACCATAGTCACTTAAGACATAATATCTATGGTTAGCGTCTCTTATTTGCCATTACTTGTCTTTTCTTACACTCAGTTATGGTGATTTTCAGGCTCTCATGCGAAATGTAACTGATGCCATGAGGGAATCAAGGGTTCCTGACATTTTAAATGTGGTGAGGCTTCTGATACTTAATAGAAGTTCTGTGGAGACCATACCTCAATAAGATCTCTCTACTCCCATCCTCACTCTAGAAAAGGCAAGCTTTATTAAAAACTACATTGTTATTACCCGAATCCAAAGGAGAGGTATGCCAGTGGAGGCTAGAATGAGGGGCAGTCTCCCTAAAATTGTTTTTTACAATCTTAAAACTTGACATTTTCTCAACCAGAAATGTTTTCCTTCAGTGACAAGTAAAACCGTAGTTACGATTACAGGATTTAATGCAGTGGTTTTGGTTTATGATCTGACTTGGTTAGCGTATATTGTATGACATTGAATTTGGACAGGGGTATATCTGAATCCAATCCAACGAGGATCAGAATTGGCTTTAGATATCTGAATTAAATCCATTTCAATAAATGGATCATATTTTAAAATCCAATTTGATCTGATTAATGGCTACATGAATTGGTTTGTATTCAAATCAGATTGAATTGGATCCATTTGCATAGGATACCACCAATCCAGTTAGATTAATGTTAAATACATAGGGTATTATCAGTTTTGGGTTCTAGATGTGGTAGCCAGTTTAGGTTGAATCCTGCTTGGGATCACAGGTGTTCCACACGTACACAGGTACACTTAGAAAATGGTAGGTAAGCTAAGTGATGTGATATAGAAAGTTGGATGTTTTGGTATAAAGCTTGGAAGTACCAATATACATCTTTAGTTGGATTTTGTGTAGATGAGTTGATAATTATTGATGTTCAACTTTGCAAGAGGTGCCACATTGAATTCATAATGGCAATTAGTCAGCGTAATCTTTTAGTTTCTGATTAGATTTAAGATGGACTTTGTACATGTAATGGGGCCACATCCAAAGCATGTTAGCATCCTGTTATCTAATAAACTGATTGCATTAATTGTGACTTTGAGCTTGGAAACATTTGTCTGGTTATTGATGCCAACCACCATCAAATGCAACTTCTGGCAAATCTCATTTTGTCATAATTCCACTTTAGCTCTCACTTGAACTGTTTCTGAAGGTTATGCATGAATTCAAAAAAGATCTTTCTTGAGCTAATTTTTATATGTATGCTTCAATCTCAGATGGAACCACCTTCTTATGGAAAGATGGACTTCGAAGAATTCTGCGCAGCAGCAATCAGCATATACCAGCTGGAAGCTCTTGAAGGGTGGGAACAGATTGCAAGTACGGCTTTTCAGTACTTTGAACAGGAGGGAAACCGAATTATCTCAGTTGAGGAATTGGCAGGGGTTGGTATATTATTGGCGTTTTTAGGAAATTGCATCTAGAATCTCCTATAACATGTTGGGCTTAATAAACTATTTATGCAGGAAATGAATCTGGGTCCTACGGCTTATTCCATACTCCGCGACTGGATCAGAAGGGAAGATGGGAAGCTTAATTTCCTTGGGTATACTAAATTTTTGCATGGTGTGACAATTCGTAGCTCAAATACAAGACATTAGTAATTTTTTTAAGTGGCATGTCATTGTTTTTTAAAGTTCATGGCGTTGAAAGGTTTGCGGGTTTTTTGATAGAGAAAAGTGTTTATAAAGGTTTTTTTTTTTTCTCAGTCAGACGCAAAGATTTGGAAGCATCACTCAGAGAGAGAGAGAGAGAGAGAGAGAGAGAGAGTACCACCACGACATACAACAAGATATAAACTGGCTACCACTGCCACCCAGCCAAGACGCTTAAATAGACGTGGACTAGGGCCTTAATTAAGCCGACACATAAGTTACCGTTAGCTTTCCCACTAATTTTGTAGTGAATAGTCTTCTCAATTAAATTAGGGTAAATTACAAAGCCCTCCTTGTAGTATAGGGACAGTGACAAAGACCCCTGCACTACTCCCCTCTGTTAGATTTCTGTTAGTAAACTTTGAAAAAAATTCTCACCCGACTGCTTAAATTTTTCTAAAGGCCCAAACTCTCCTTTTCTAATTTATTTTGGATTCCTATTTTCTCTGACATCACCCATCGGGAAATGGCTGGGATTTGTAGTTGCTGTTTGGATTTAGACCATTTCCGGCAACAACTACACCTTCTCCAACTACTCAGATGCTCTAAAATCTCTTACGGACATCACCCACCGGGAAATGGCTGGGATTTGTAATCGCTGTTTGGATTTAGGCCATTTCCTGCAACTATTACACCTCCAACTACTCAGATTCTCTAAAATCTCTTACGGGTCTTACTCAATTGCAGCTTAACAATCTCTCTGTTCCCAAGGATGTCAGAAAGGAAGGGATAAAATGAGGAAAAGGAAGGGGATCAAGCAGTTGATAAAATGAGGAAAAGGAAAGGAAAGGACTTGGATCTGATCTTGATAGCTCTTATCTGATCCAGATCAGAACAGAAATGAGGCTTGTAAATTATTCAGTCACTGTTCTGCGTTATACCTTAAGAACTGATAATAACCAGTATCAAATAAGTGGTAACCAGTCAACTGATATGTTTTAGATAGCATATTCTTCTTACAAAAATAGTCCTCACACCAACCTCATGCTCGAATCCGAATTTCATCCTCACAGGCTTGGTGGTATAGTCCTTGGATTTATTAGGATCAGCCAAAGGCAATAGTTGTAACTTGTAAGGTGCAAAAGCAAAGCTGGCACTGTGAAATAGTCGTTGTTTGTATGGTTTGATTAGCTTCCTATCTGATAATATGGAAGCTATGGGGAGACGACAATGAACAACCGTGGTTAAGAGTCGATTACGCGCTTTGGGGAGACGATGATGAACAGCCGTAATCAGCTCCTGCAATCTCTGGTCGTACCAAACAGTTAATGGCGTTTGAATTCAGAAGCTGTTGCAATCTTTGGGCCCCAGAGAATAGTCAATCAGGGATGTTCTTCTAATCCATTAAGCCATAGATGGTTAATTGGTAAGCCTTAGTTAGCAGTAGTTTTTCTCTGTAGGTATCGTTTTTTTGTTTTTTGTCTAGCTTTCTCTCTGTGCTCTGTTGGTTGGTTAGTTCTAACGTTTGTTTTGGTAGCCGAAAAGTAAGCGTTACAGAGGTCACCACCGGGGAGTTATCGGCGAGCATTGCTGATAAGTAGAGAAACAGAGCAAGGCCAAAGAGCAATCCAATACAGATGTGCATTCTTGATCTTGAGAGAATGGAGGTGAAGATCTTGAAACATGCCATGGGAGAAAAAATAGAGAAACAACAATCGGAACAAATACTCCCATTTACTTTTTGGGTCAGTTATGTTTTAAGAGAGAATGGYACAAAAAAGAAAATAGAAAAAATTTAATGGAGTATTTTAATAATTTAATGACTTCTGTTACCTGACTTGACAGCTGAGAGGATATTTATGGTAATGTAAAAGTTCAAGAAGCTCTTTGTCGCAAATTAAAGTATAGAGGTCTTTATGACTGACCCTATCGTACAAGGGGTCTTTATAATTTACCCATTAAATTATAACGTGTTGCCACTTGCCAGAGTTGGTTCAGACTGGATGAATAATAAATTGGTGCGATCCATTGACCATCTAAACGGGTCTCTTGGTCAATTGAAGAGGCTGTCTGCTTCAGCCCTCCGGAGCTTTTCAAAACAGCTTTTCCAGTTTAACTGAATCTTCATCTTTGCCCTCTTAAATGTTCACGATGTTTGAGCATTTATATGACCTAAGGTTATGTTTGTTTTGATAGAATATAACAGAGAAAAAGAAACACAAATATAGTCTAAAGGACAAGCTTAAATGGGGCGGTAATAGATAGCCGACTTGCCCTTGTGCATTTGGTTACTTTGACCTAGGGGTGCTCACGGTTTGGTTAATCGAACCGTGTGGCATTTTCTTGAACCGAATTGATAGTATTTATTTTTGGAAAATTGGTAACTGGATTTAAACCGAAACTAATTGGTTAACTGGTTGACCGATTTGGTTAATCACCGGTTTGATTCGTTGGTTTTTTGATTTTTTAGTTTTTACAATATATATATAAAAATATAATAAAAATGTATTAATATATAAAATATTATATTTTAAATAATATATATATATATATATATAATATACATAAATATATAAAATATATAAAAATATATGTATACCGGTTGGTTCGATTAACCGCCGATTTTTTATATTGATTAATCAAAATTGAACCAATACCTTCAGTTTTTTAAAAACATCGAACTGAAACCGAACCGACTGATTCGATTAACCAATTTTTCAGTTCAATCTTGATTGGTTGATTCGACTTCACCTATCCCCAGGGACCCTACCCACTCGGCCACTCCTAACCCCAGCAGCCTAAACATATCCATAGGTGGCATATGATTTACATGCTACTCTCTACAAATTTTTTTATAGCTCTTTTAAAACATAAAAAAAAAAGTTAGTGCATACAACTTAGGTAACAGATAATGAATTTATGATTCTCTTAAAATCCCGCTGCCATTAGGATTGATATGGGATGGGCTACCCCCGTTGTGTAGTCCCAAAAACACGAGTATGAAAAGAAAAATGGATTTATAATGGATGACTTGAGTTTTTTGAATTTATTTTTGGCACAATGATTTTTATTATATACTTTCTCAAGCAGAGTTATTAATTTATCGTGAATAACGCCATTTTTGTCCGAGTGGAATAGAGGCTAGAGGTGGATGGACGGACGGAGAAAAGATTAAGCTGAATAGCAGAGAAGATAGAAGGACGTTTTGTGAAGTGGTTGTAACGTGATTTGGACAAATGGCACAAATTGTAATGTTGCTAGTGTTGTGACTAGCAAATTATGGCAAGTGATGGTTGGGGATTTGGATTAGCTTCGGGCTAGATTTGTTTGCAGCATCTCTTTAACTCACCAAAACTGTTAGACCGACGAACAGGTATTAGTAGATTATCATTTTACTATTTGTTATACTGGTGAGTTTTAGATAATTTCTTTAAAATAAAAATCGTGCCAATGCAGTGAGAGCACGAAATCCAACAACACATCGAGATTCATGAATTTAATATGCGAGTATGGGAGTTTTTTGTTTTTTGGATAAAACAAGAAGAGCTTATGAAATGTTAACACGCTGAGGTTGGATTCTGAAAGATGATGATGCATCATGCATGTGGCAAGTAATGGAATTAGAGGCTCTAGATTGCACCTTGCGTACTTTTTATGTCTCCAGAAACCAATTATATGTAACCGAGATTGGTGTAGCGTTTAGAGATGCCAAGGGTTCCTATTGTTGGGAAAGCATGGACCTTGTGATGTCTCATCTTCTTGCTAATGTTGTGCATTGGCCAGCAGGGAGTATGGCTTTATAAACATGCTTGTTGAAACTGATGCAAAGTCGGTAATGAATTCTATATCTAGTAAATCCTTTGATGCATGTAAAGACGTGTGGCCTATTTTAGTTTGAATGATATCTTTGAATTCTCTTGGTACTCAGCATAAAGAAGCTTCACTAAACAGCAGATCAGAGGAACAATCAACAAAAAAATAAATCCAAGAGCCACTCCGGGTAATCAAACAAGAATAAACCATGATCTTGAAAACCTTTTTGTGTTAGATTGTGGGCCAGACCATTACAATTTCTGCTAATTAGAGAAAAAGAAACAGATAAGGGTCCCATTGCACAAGCTATGTCTTTCAGAAGAGAGGTAATCTTCGCTGAATTGTGGGGATCCTTTTTACTAACAGCAGAGAGTAACTCTCTTTACAGTCAGATTCCACAACACAGGTTGTGAATCCTGAAAGTTTTACCAAATTCAAACCTGGTCTCAGAGCAACACCCTCAGCCTTTAGTGCTGACGCAACAAAATGGGGTCCAAAACAAGTTGCCAAAACAGAACCATTTGAGTGTCTTATCACTACACCAAAACTCCCCTCATTGTTTTGCTTCAACCCTTCATCAACATTTACTTTCACTTTTCCAACTGGAGGAGGTTGCCAAAAAGAAATCAAGCCCTGGGCTGGTTTAAATATGTTTGTATCTCCTAAGTAACTCCTCCAAGTCTTTATAATAATGAGCTGCAATTGCCTATAAACATTCATTAAAACCATTGTTTGGAGTACTGTTAGAATTTTCAAACAAAAAGGAATTTCTTACTTTTATTATATAGACTGCAATTAATTTGGAGGTTTACTTGGGCATAGGACTGAAACTAGCTTAGTAGCTAGCTAATCTCCAAACGCTAGGTCTGCAGGATAGGTATCCATTCAGGCATTGAAGACATTGCCAAACCAGGTTTGCTTTTTGGCTAAATCACATTGGCAAAGAGCATGAAAGACGGTTTTAGTGGTAGCAACACCACAAATTCTCTACTGCACTTCCATAACAAAGTTTTAACTTTGGGCTCAACAAGGATTTTCCACATGGCTTTCCATAGGGTGGAGTTTGAGGTCTGACCCAACACAAAATTTTTCGACTCAGAGAGACGTTTTGCAACATAATAGCCAGATATAACCGTAAATCTTCCTTTCAAGTCAGGCACCCAAGCTAGAACATCCTCCCACTCCCCTCTAGCTAAGTTCAGGTTCAGAATTTATTTTGCATAATGAAGAAATACTTACCAAGTCACGAGTGTGGGGTTCCAT